AACTGATATCAACAAAGAACATTTTGCCCGGAGGTCACAAATGCATGCTGAATCACAAATTCTATTTGAAAAGAAAATGAAGTGCTTTATGAGTATAAGAGTTATTACTTTCTTAGAGGGCATGTGTTAGACTTTAAAGTGATAATGTGCAAAAGCATTCTTTGAGCATCTGTTTCTGAGGAGAGTTTCAACTTATGCCCAAGTTTTTGATCCTATTCAAATCAAACTGTGGCCTTCAGGCCTGTCAGTAATTGTTACTCCAGTATTGCCAGGTACCCTTTTACAAACATCTGGGTTGAGGCGGACAACATGGACAAAACACCTCGTCCAAATAGTTCAAGATTAGCTTGAATTCTGGTAATGATAAGAAATAAATTCTCATGGAATCCAACAAAAATTACACTGAATGTTCAAGATTCAAACAAATGACATGTGCCAATGATTTTGGTAGGAAATGTAAGGGAGCTGAGTAATGAGCATAAAAAGACAAGGAAATAATTATGTTACTATGTCAGTATGTGCAAATGAGAGTTGTGGATTTACTGAAGACGATTTCCAGCAAATTTTTGTGAGGTTGTTTTTATTTTACTGGTTCAAACAATCAATCTACTGCAGGATAACCAATCCAGAATGGATTATATCCAGCTCAAGATTAGCTTTAAAATTTTGAACAAGCATCAACCAAGTCAAAAGCTGTTCTCACTAATATACCAGGGCGCTACCACCTTAGTGTAACATTGAGGGCTTTTTTTCATAACACATTGTGTTATGAAAATAGTAATGTGAATATCTTTTCCTGAGAACCGATGCTACATAACTGTGTCTTTTTATTTAGTTTTGTTTTGTGACTGAATTCATGATGGCATATCATCATACTGGAACACATTAAGTGAGGACTCTGGGGGCCCTTATAGCATATGAATTGATCAAAGTGCGAATGTAATTCAGTGAATTAATGGATGAGAGAGTGTGTTACGCCTCAAGGTGTTGTAGATTTAGATAATGAAGAAGCAATCAAAGGAAATATTTCTCATCCTTCAATAATAAGGATGAAGTAAATGGCTTGCCAAGCAAGTATATTTCATGACCATAAGGATATTTGCTTAGAGGTAGAGCATAATAAGTATATTATGCAGTATTCAACGGGGGACCAATAGGAACTGAAATTTGATTAGGAGTGAATAAGGTTAGTTACATTGAAGTTACAGGTCATGATTTATTTTGAGAAATCACCAACCATAAAAAAGTCTCATTTTTAATAGATTTATACATCGCAACATCATTAGGTTTGGGAATAAATGCACTGGTGTTTTGTGTATTCGATGGATATTATCTTGTTGTAAGTTTTGCCGATCGATTCCTCTTCTAGATTGTTTTACCCATATTTTTTTATAACCTTTTCAATTTCCGATTTCTTTTAGACTATTAAAGGTAATACAAAGTTTTGGGAAATTCTGAAAATTGGGTGAATAGTGATTCTTTACAATTTGGATATATTTGGATGCCCCTGTGGATGTATTATAAGCACAAGAAAATTTAGCCTCTAAAACACTTCTGCTTTCGAGAAAAGTTGAGTATAAAAATTTACCGGTGCTCCTGGTAAATTTGGATGAATTTCAAAGAGAGCCTACGGCCGTGCAATGGTAGCTTCGACCATGAACATCTCAGAATATGTAGTTGTGATATATAATTTCCAAACGGGAATAGGTTATTGGTTGATTTTAGTCAAGAAACATTGTTTTATAGCTTAATTAATATCTTGACCTTGAGAGGGAGCTATACAACAAAAAGAGTGTATTATTTACAATTTCGTAACTTTAAACTTGATTTCAACCGCGACAACGATCACTGAATATTGTAGGATCGCATAAGCTTCCAATATGTTCATTTGAACCAAATTCATGACCCCATACCTAAACTTTGTATTACCTTTAAGGCATTATATGATTATTATTAACTTGATAAATAAATTAAATGTTGTAAATTCTAAGACATTGCCATGTATCACTTTGAATACTGTTATCAATATTGATGATAGAACAAAACTTGAATTTCAAAGTAAGTAAAGTACCTTAAAGGTAAAGACCAGTATTGGAAACGCCCCAATTTCAAAAAATGAAATGGAAGCTCTCATTACCAATCATGTGAAAGAATATGTTTTGACCAATACATGATGATAAAAAATTTGCCGGAAAACCGCCTACTAATTCATATATTTGGTAAATTTGTTTCTCTCATGGTCTGTGCGAGATATAGGGTAGTCCCATATACATCTTTCTGTGTATAGTGCTTGTAACTTTACAAAGAATGGGCCAAATTTCTTATCATTTTGATGATTCCAGAACCTTGCAGATGCTAGATGCTAGATGATCAACCTTTTCTGATCGATTCCACAACGTTTCTTTCATAATGCAATCGCATGACCATTACTGGTCTTTACCTTTAAAGGTACTATGTCCCATTTGCAGGCCTAAAAAATGAAAAAGTTAAATTCCAACTGCATTTGAAAGATAATACTAATTTAGAACTTCCCTAAAAAAGGTGGGGCTTGAAAATGTCTTCAATAACGACTATTAGTTGTCAACTCGACTTTAGGGCTATAGAGCCCAAAAGTAATAGTCTTGATTTTCAGACAATTGTACCGAATGGTCATATGTTTTACGCTGCGCAAAGATTCAATCAGTTTAATCTTGGCCATCACAAGAAGTGGGTTATTGATGTAGAAAAATGATCATGTACCCTTTACAACTCTTTTCATGTATGTTGTTACCAAAGAAGAAAAAATGCCAGTCAGTCACTCAATAGTGTCTGACAGTGAAGTCTAGCAAGTAAACGGGTTTCCTTGCATAATTTGAATATGAGGACACTGCTAACGTTTAAATTTCACAGATGGGACATACATGACATATTCATAATTCCTGCAAAGTTCTACAGCATTTGAGGTTGGCTGCAAAAGGGACATAGTACCTTTAAAGTCTGATGAAGTGATATATTTCATTTAGATCAATATTGGTGGGACTCAAATCACAAGTAATCTGTGAAGTGAACAAAAGTCTCTATGACTTTAAGCAGAATATTGCTCATAGCAAATACCATTTGATATTTTTAGGAGGTTATATCGATAGTTTATTGATCGCTTTTTATCAAAAGTTTGATGAAACAGAGAGCAGCTATGTACTGATGATGTGAATGTGTAGAATCTATCAGAGAATAGCTTTAGAAAGTAATAGAAAATACACTTGTAATAAGTGTGTACATGAAACTAAAACAGTGTATGTATCTATGCAGGATTTCATATTGGTGGGTTTTAGCAGATGCAGGATTATTACCCTGTAATTTTATTTTTTTCGAGTGGGGGAGGGGGGCACATGTATGTTAAAATGTAAAAATGCCACCTCTGTAGAAAAAATTTTATAAGATTTTACAAAGGAGGAATATACTTCTGTCAGAAAAGACTTACATTAAGAGAATTCTTGGTATTAAAGAGATCATTTCTTGTTAATGTAGTATGTGCCCCCTTGCCACCCCTCCCAATCTCCTTCTGGAGGGAGAGTAGGGAAGATTATATGATCATAGTTCAAGTTTATTCAGATTAAACTCTCAACACTCAAGATTCAGTTTGGTTACTTGCAACCATTCCCACCCATTTTGCAAAGTGAGTATCATTAATGAATGAGGAGGGTAGTATATATGGAGAAATAGTTAACAAATGCTGGATACATTAAAGTGTGACGTCAAATGCAGATTATGGCACAGCTGTTAGATAGCTTTAAAATGAAGCTCCACAAATGAACATCTCTATTGTGTGATTGTATGCTTAAGCAATAGCCCACCTTCTGATTTCAACACAGATGTGAAAAAAGCAGTATTTGTTCTTGTAATTCATGATCAAGCTTTGAGAGTAAATGCGTATTGAAAGAATCACCAAATGTCGCAAGTTGTTCTGCTTGCCATTCAACAGATGCGCGACAAGAAACCAAAGCCAGCCCTCTGATTCCTTCCTCTATGCAAATATGTATCATCCCAAGATAATAAGCTATTATAATATCATTATTCCTCCTGCCATCATCCCTCTATCTAATGACCCTGCGTAGCACATCTCTGCTGAGCTCATAAGATTGCTGTGCGGATGTACCCAGCATCCGCTACTAAGTCGACATCTACATAAGACAGCGCATCCCTACACAGTCGTATCACTTGGAAAATTGCCGTTTGGTATTCCTCCCCCAAAACTTGACACTCGCCCGCTCTGGTTTCATATTGCATCCCATCTCTACTTGTGGTCGCTCTCCGCATCTTCACGCCTGACAGGGCAGGGCTGGCTGGCTGGAGCAGCCGAGTTTTGCATTTTAAGTGGCCTCCTCAGGCCGCCGATGATTGGGTCGTAATTCTTTCAGTCCACGGCCATCCTCTTCCAAAGCTCTTCCCCTCTGCGGTCATTTGTCCACCTCCAAATTGACTTATCAGGATTAGCTCGGACAACGGGAAGAAGATTTGTAAAGACTGTACTGGATTTGTGGACTATGTTTACACAGCAGGTGGAAACACACCTGATGTTTCTCGAGCCCTGTTTATCTAGGATAGGGTACTTCTTTAAGCGTCAAGTTGAGTTTGTGCATTCATGATACGATTTCCCAGTGGTTCCTTGCAACGTACATCATGGATGAATACCAATTAATGTGATTTTGATCTTCGCCTCGTGAGAGTAGAAACGGTTCATGTTATCATGCAACGTTTTTGGGGATGTATATCTCACATGATATCAGTCATGATGTTGCTGATCAGTGCTAGTGTCTGAACCAACAGTTATTTGTTCCTACTCTAAGCTAGCTACTTCTTATACTGTGCATCTTTGTTTTGTGCAATAAAAAAATATTAACGTCATTATTCTTCAAATGTTGAGAATACCATCATTGGACTACCATATCAAAATGTATTCGATCGGGCATAACTCTGACATTGTACGTGTTACACTGCACTGCTCTATATTTTAACATTATCAAAAGTTTTTCTAACAATATCGAGAGACTTTTACTTCCATCTTTAATTCTCATGTAGAGGCTGTTTCAGAACCACTGATATATATTTTTTCTTGCATCGTCAGTTTATATAGCTAAACAATTGAACATGACATCTGCAAATGGAATGATTCACAAACAAAATATGGATTGGGAGAGCTGACCTGAGCAAGTTGATTGGAACAACACATTGAAGTAACTTATGCTGCTCAAGGCTTGAAGTGTTTCTTCATAACTTTTACATTTTAATATCATTAAACCACCTCTTTTGTCACTGCTCAACAAACAATAATTCACCAAAGGACATCTTTGTACCTCTCTCCCTTCTCTCTTTACCGATCCTTATTCTGTAAACTGGACATTTGATCACTGGACATTGATGACACGCTTGACCATCATGCCCGCCCACAATTCCTTCGCCATGCACGACACCCGGACACGGCTCCTGGACGCCACATCCAACCACATTGACCACATCGATGAAACACTCGTGCAGAAGTGGAAGCCACTCTTTGATAAGGTGAGATTAAGCTTAATGTGAACAGGGGGTGTTTCACAAAGATCCTAAGTTGAACTTATCTCTAAGTTGGACTTAAAATTTTTGAATCTTTGTAAATATTTTGTAAAAGTTATCTTAAAAGGCATAAAATGTTGATTTAAATCTTCATATTTTCTATTATCATGGGAGATTTCATGTTCATGATGTGGAAATTATGAAAAGTCCCGTATACTTCAATTTTTGCTTTTGAATATATTTTATTTTAAGGCTACAAATTGCTCTCCATAATGTTCAAGTCGAACTTAGAGTTAGGTTTGACTTAGGATCTTTGTGAAACACCCCCCCCCCAGAGCTCATATATTGTCAGATGAGAGCTAGAAGGATATTAATTAAATTAAATATAATGCAGTTACATTGCAGTTTACAATTCCCCCATGATTGTCAAACTATTTGAGAAGGTGGGGCTGGTCACCACTTGATTCACAAATAATTAAAAAGAGGAAAAAAAAATTAATGAAGGAGAGAGAAAAGCTCAGTAGGGGAAAAGTATTATGAAGAAAAGATATCACAATCCCTTCCCAAACCCTTTCCCAATACAATAGCCTTGCTCATACACATTTTCTCTACCAAGGAACATTACAGTGATAGAACTACAAGCATACAGAGCAAAATTGTTTTTGCTAATTGGCCCTGTTTAAGCCCTGAAAAAAGAAATACACAATCATCGGCTGGCCGCAAGAAGTATGTATTGTCAGTGGTAGTAACAGTCTTCTTGTACATGTCAAGAGTGTTGTAGATTCTCTGCGGGGTGTTGATACCCTCCAGATGTGTGTATGGTAAAACATTGCAAGTTCACCGGCAGAATATTGGAGCTCTTCCACGAAATGGGTCTGCTCGGGTCCAGGCATCATGCTGGGGGAATCTGGAACATGCAGTGATTACAAATTTCCAATTTACCATCAAGTCTAATCAGTTATTTCCCCCCTTCCTATTAAGCCATCTTGAGGTAAATGATTCAACAATATTAAAGTAGTTTGACTTCATTTTTTGAAAGTTTGCTATACAGCCACAGCTTCAGCAAAAGAATCAAATTTTTAGTACTCAAATGAAAAAGAGCAACGTGTCACTAGAACATTTTATGACCTTGGGGGGGGGGGGGGGTGGGGGTGGGGACCATTTGTACTGCCAAGGTACTGGTAGGCAAATTTTCCTACAAGCCTCTCCTAAAGGTCCTGGTTTTCAAATTTATCACTAACATTAATAAAAACGATAGTAACATTGGAAGATTTCTATAGTGGATTCTCACGGACTATGTGGATGTCATCAATGACGTGTGACTAACAATGACATTTGCATCCTTTTGGGTACTCCTTTAACACCTGGGTGGAGAGAGGCAATGTAGATAAAATGCCTTGATTACGCAAACTACACAATCCATTATCCAAAGCATAATGACATTCAACCTGATTTGCACTTTTGGTAACATGCAAGGCTCAAATTATTTTTTTGTCCACAGGGGCTCTTCCCCCCCCCCCAAAAAAAAAGAGCCCCCGTGAGCCTTCTAATGGGGGCTCTTTTAGTACTGACTGGGGCTAGTTTTTTAATACAAATTTCTATTGAATTGGTTTAAGGTTTGAAACTTGAAACTCATTATTGTGCGAAAGTTACCGATATAACAGAAAAGATAATCTTTATTTTATAATTCCACGGGGGCAATTTTTAATTTTGCAATCGCCCCTGTGGGCAATCTGACTGAGGAGATTATGTAGCACATGGGGGCAAATCGCCCATCACCCCCGTGTATTTTGAGCCTTGGCAACATGTTAAACGAGCAAAAGGGAAGAGTAGATCGAACTCGAAGAGCCGCACAGAGAAGAAGCGCACAGAGGGTTATAGGATCAGATTTGCCCCCTGTTCCAGCACTTCATGAAAATCGCCTACTTGCTAAAGTTCAGGATATAATGACAGACAATCCTCATCTTCTCAATGGGGCGTAATGGGGGGGGGGGGGGGCAAGCTGATGGGAAATATTTTGAGGCATGATAATTGTAGACGGCAATATGAAATTGGGGGGCACATGCACATTATAAATAATTATCCACATCAATGTACATCGTTTTCTATTGTTAAGAATTGTATTTTCTATCATTTGTATTTTCACTGTCAAAAAGGCCATTGGAAGCAAAATTTCTATGTAATGTTTGCATGCATGGACCAATAAAATATTCTTGAATCTATACAATCACTGGATTTTTGAAGATTTTCTATGGCCCGTTTTCACCATATGTGAGCGGAGTTCTTGTCTGTGTGGGTGTCATCACTGTGAAGCGTGACCGGCATAACTCTTCTTCTCGCACCTCCTCAGAGCTACCCTAGCTATCATATGAACTCCAGCCCAAATAAATGTAAGCTGAGTGATGGGTAAATACATGGTAATCCTAGAGCTAGAGTCATCTGTATAGGTTTTCCTCTCGTGGAAATGACATCTAAAGTTGACATGACATATATTGATTATTGAGATAATGTTTAGTATGGAAGTGAAGATAGCCTAAATTAAATAACAAAACATTTTCTTTTAAAGGGAAAGGCCAGAATTTTAGAATTATTTCATGAATAATCAGCCCCCAAAGGGCTTCTGGTAATATGTTTTATTTTTGCATGGGCCCCTCAAAATGAAATGATATGAAATTACACTCTAACACTGCATGCTGTTTGGATCCAGAAGGAAGTTCAATATTAATTCATACACTTTTACAAAGAGCTTTAATGCTATATAATGTCTTTCTGGCTCCAAGACGGACATTAATCAAAGATTTCATCATGACGTTGCAAGAAATCTTTTTGGATGGCATTCTATTCTCTTACATGTATAGCACACCAAGATTCAAGCAAGGGCTTTTTACTTATTTGACCGTATCAAACACTTTAGAATTCATCTTTGATAAATACTTTAAACATTGACCCAATAATTATACCGGTAACCCATTTGTGAGACAGAAGTGGGCAGAGAGAAGTGTACCGTCACCCCATCCTCCATGCCCCTTGAGAAATAGATAAAGCGCTACCTTTTTGGGGGAGACAATCCCAGCAGTAAACTACTTGAAGCTTAGTAAGAATGAGTAATGAAGACTGTAACGTGACGCCCACTGTTTTCTAATAATAATAATAATAATATGGATATTTATATAGCGCCGGTATCCGCCAGGCTCTGACGCTCATGGCGCTGTACATACATGTATTACTATCACAAAAATATAACATTCTTAACTAAAATAAAGTAAACTAAAACAACACAAATTATTACGCTACATTGACATGATTAAATAGCACTGTTTAGAAAGAGATGGGTTTTTAGAGCAACTTTGAAGGCATGAAGGGTAGTTAAATTACGAATACTAAGTGGCAGCTTATTCCAAAGGGACGGACCAGAATGAGAAAAAGCTCTATCCCCCCAGGAACTGCGCGTCTTAGGGACAACTAATAAGGAGGATTGAGATGAACGAAGTCATCATAGTCATCATTTCCGTTTCTTTTCTGTTGTAATAGCGCTCTGATTAGTTTTTCTGTAATAACGCTCAATGAGAATGAATTATTATTATTGTTATTGTCTGAAAAATGGATTTAAAAGCAGGCAGAATTCTGTTTTCCTATTGGATAGAGAAATAAGGATGAAACAAAGTTCAGTTTGGAAACTCAAATGATGGAGGTCATCAGCAGATGAAAACCTGAAACCAAGGGCACGTAACCAATTAAGCCTTTAAGGAGACAATGTTGTTAGATAAGTGCTAGACTAAGAAATTAGTCATGAAAGAATGAAGGGCTCTTTACGTGACTTAGGGCGCGTTCATGCTTGATTTTGAAGGCAGAATGAGCGATTTGTAACGCTCATCGTAAACGCTCATCGTAATCGCAGTTCCACGGTGCACTGTTCATGCTCACTTCTCCAGGCAATTCTCCTTGGGTGGCCTTCAGCTGGATTCGCAAACCTGTGTGCGCATGCTACGTAGACCCACTAGAGGTCAGTGCGTTGACCCCATTTAAACGCGTTTACAAATTGTAAACGCATCTTTTTGTGAGTTTACGATCGGCGATCGTGATCGCTGTTTTTCGGTGATTCTACAAAAGTGAGCATGAACGCAAGCGTGTTTTAAACTAAACGCGTAACAGATGCCTGATTCTGGCCGTCAAAATCAAGCATGAACGCGCCCTTACTCAGTACCATGTTTTTCATTCACAAGAAAAGCTGAGAAGATAGTGGAAGTCCCTACGTTGTTGGTAGATAAATGAAGGACAAATGTTCCATTTGGGAATTGAGATATATCAATTATAGAGAACTGCATGTTGCCAACTAAGGAATAAGTCAACGGAGGCCCCCTAATGTGACTCTGTCAGACATGGGTTTTTCATTCTCAAGAAAAGCTGACAAGATAGCAGATGCCCATTGTTTAGCTCTTTTTTGGGAGGGGGGGGGGGGGGGGGGGGGAGGGGGTAGCTTTTAAATCAAAGTGAGAATTTCCCCTCTATGAAGAGAAATACAGCTGACATGTAGGCTTCTGTATGAACCCTCCCCCTTTCCCATTCCTGGGTATTTTCTTGACAAGAAAAGCTGACATTATAAACCCCCTCCCCTTTTCTTATGAAGAATCAGATACCACAATGGTAGAGACTACTAAGAAATGAGTATATGAAAGCCCCCAACCATGACTCCCATGGTGCGAGGTTTTTGTATTCGCAAGAAATGCTGAAAAGATTAACCTCATATTTGTTGTTGAACTTGAGGGATGGTATCTATTGAAAGTCTACTAGCTGGAATTGTCTTTCCCCTCCAAACGAGAATTTGACACCTTAATTAACTATCCAGTTTGAAAGCAATGTTGGCGGTACCTCTTTTCTTTTTAGCTACGACAGTACTGAGCAATTAGTAATGGAGGATTCTCATAATGAATTCCAACCCCCTCCCTCTATCCTGAAGTTTTCTTTGTTAATAAAAGCTGAGAAGTGAGTAGGATTCCCCTTTGCCT